AATGAAAATGGTGCTCCGCTATGACAAATCAAAGGAATTTTCTGTTTCTCTGCAAAATTGTTACATGAAACCAGGTGTCCTGAAGGTCAAGAACAGCCAACCAGTTGTTCTGTGACAACGGGGGGAGGACAGTTGCTAGAGTGACCATTTGGAACCTCATGTATCTGATATATTTGTTGAGGCCAGGAAAGTTGAAAATGGGTCTTACCCTTCCCTTGAATTTAGGCACCAGACAGTACGGAAATAGAAGCCATGACCCCAGTGTTCCAGTGGAACCTCCTCTACTGCTCCCAAAGCCAGTAAAGAGCAAACCTGTTTGAGGAGCAATATTTCATAAGAGGGGGTCCCTGAAGAGGGATGGAGACTGGGGGTGGGGAAGATGGAAAGGAACTGGATGGCATACCCCAATCTGACAGTGCTTAGGACCCAACTGTTGGCGGTGATCAAGCCCCAAGCATTGTGAAAGCAAGCCAGTCTGTCCCCAAACAGAGGGAATGGGGAGAAGAGAGCAAAAATTGTAACACTGCCTCTGGACCAAGAAGTCAAAATCAGGACCGGGGGGTTAGGGGGGAGAGGGGCTCGGCTCCGGGGAAGGTGTGTCAAGTGACCAAACCCCGGAACTGAATGCTTCCTCCTCTAGGACCTATGCCCCTTTCTGGGGTAGTTCTGCTGTCTCAGGGGAGGGAAAGGCTTCCCAAATGTGTGCTGCAAACAATCCTGCTGCTGCTGCTACTGCTGTTGATCACTGTAGTGGCCCCTCTGCACTGTTGGCATACACACCCCCAAAGATCATAGGGCAGCCCTAGAGTCCTTGAAGGAGTGCAGAATCTCGTCCGTCTTGTCCGAAAAAAGCATCAGCTGAAGGGCAAATCCTCTATGGCTTGTTGCACACCAGGACAATGCCCATATTCTGCAGCCAGGACTCCCTTCTCATGGTCACCACCAAAGCCATTACTCTGGCTGAAGTATCTGCAATGTCCAGCATGGACCATAACAAAGTCTTAGTCACCAAGCAGCCTTTAGTGATAAATGCCCAAAATTCCTCCCTCAAGACTTCAGGCAACTGGTCCGCAAACTCAGACATAGCCATCCAATTCACAAAGTCATATTTAGACAGCAATGCCTGCTGGTTAGCAATGTGTATCTACAAATAAGAGGAGGTGTCAATCTTCCTACCCATCGGGGCCATATGCTTGGAGTCCTTATCTTTGGGAGTGGACTTAAATCTGTCCAGCAGGCCTCTATTGTTCACCATAGTTATGACCAGGGAATTTGGGGCTGGATGGGAGTAAAAAAAACCCAAATCCCTGCACCACAATGAAGTAGCAATTCTCCATGTGCTTTGCAATAGGGGGTACTGAAGCCAACATGCTCCAGAGAACCTTAGCAGGCTCTAGGAGTGCATCATTAATAGGGAAGGCTACTCTCCCAGGGGCAGATGGCTGCAGGATGTCCAACAACTTATGAATATTCTCCTGCAGGAACTCTGCATGAATACCCAGGGAAGGCAGCCACGTGCCGCAAAAGGTCCTGGTATATCTTGAAATCCTCTGGTACTCAAAGGAAAGAAAGATCCAGGCACCACAGAATCATCAGGGGATGAAGACAAAGCGGTTAACTGTGCCAGAGCCGGATCCTACTCCAGGACTGACAGACCTGGACAGGACAATTCTGGAGGCTCCACATGGGGAAGGTTCACTGGTGCCTGGGCCTGTGGCAGATCGAACGTCACTACCACAGGATTGCACAATGATCTTGCCTTAGAGCGAGATGAGGAGTGGGACCTACGCAACTGAGGCGCATCCCACAGATTTCATGCAGCCCACTAGTATGGATAGGGCATTGGTGGCCAGTAGACATCAGGCCAGGGCCCCCATTTCCACCATGAGACAAGCACCTATCATGGTACCCATAGCTCTCCTTGACTGGGCCCTGATGCAGGTCAGGCAATGGAGAGTGGGTGGAGGAAGATCCCAACCTGAATGCTGAGGAGTCCCGAACTTCAGGGGATAAAGGTGGAGCCAGCCCTGAGGGTGCAAGCAACTGGCCTGACTCATCCATAGCCCAGAATGAAGAGGGAACTGGTGCAGATGGTGGAAATGGTACTGCGGGCATCAAATACACGTCCGTTGTTTCCAGTGCTTGAAGTGGTGTCAACCCTGAAGCCGAGGTGACTGACAGTGCTGAAGTGGAGGGAGGTGCGTGCTGCCACGGTTACATCAGTGGTGCCAACAGAAGGGGTGCAAAGAAGTTCCCAGTGCTGGGGAGGTCCCTTGTGCTGAGCCCAGCACCAGCCCCACTTCCTCTGACTGTCAAAGGGAAACATCAGGGTGTGGTGCCAACAGGCCCTCAGGCTCAGCGGCCCACCCAGCCAACAGGGCTATAAACTAAGCAGCCTTGGCAAAGTCCTGGGCCAAGGGAGAGGTCAGGACAGAAAGGCAGAGGAGCTCCATTGCCACCTGATATACCGCCAGAGCAGAAACAGCCAGTGCCAGCATCACCCTCTTCAATATGGGACTCAATGGACGCCCAGAGCCGGAACCAGAGTTGATGGCACGGGGGTCTCTGATCTTCCTGAACAGTACCAAAGAGTGGTTGATGGGACCGGCTCCATTCCGCATGCTGACATTCACACTGCGTATTAAGCTAGATGTCAAACAGAGCAATACTTCCAAGTATTGACATGGCATTTGAGTCCCTAAGTGTGACTGCAGCTCCTCTCACTCACACTGGCAAAGGAAAGCAAGTGGTACACTAATCACAGAACCATTTGCTCTACTGCCCAGTATTTACTGGCAGCAACAGAAAACTGCAAGGATCCCTCCTAGTAGCTAGGAATGGAGGAGGGAAAAAACCACCTCTCTCCCAACAGCCTTAGGGAAGAGAAGAAAATGAGTCAAAATGACAAATGAAGTTCTAGAGAGCTTTAACATGTTTGCAGACACAACACTGCGGAGATGACATCTACAGGTGTGATGTCATAACAACTACACAGTTACAATACAGATATTGAATATGACATCAGGATGTCATTCCATGGATTATTTGTGGCTCACTGCAACGCCAGTCTATGGAAAAAGTAGATCCCAGCCAGTGTGAGGACCAATGAGACTACTCTTCCTCTGATGGGAAAGATCTTCAGGATAGCAGCTAAAAAATCTCTGTAGCAGACTAAAAACTTCTGTTTAATTAGATGCCCATGGAAGCCCTTAGTGTTTTAGTTTTATGAAATTTTATAATTCTGATGTGCTATCAAAGTTTTAACAAAAGACCCCTTCAAAAGTTTTCTACCTCAGTCAATAATACATGTGACATTCCTTGGGTAAAATACTCCCCAGAAAACTCTTGTCAGTTCCATACTATTCTCAACTCTCCCAAATTCATTACCTACCTGTTTCACCACCTCCACGCCTCATGAAGTCTCTAACTAGCTCCTCTACCTGGAAGCTTTTCCCTTTACCAGCAGTGATCACATGTGTTACTCCTGGAGGAATTCTGCACCACTGCACAATGCAAAATTTGTGCAGAATTAATGTCCTGCACAGAATTTCATGTTTTCCCCCCACAGACTTGGGGCTGCAGAGCTACTGGCCACCTCTAAGGGCCGCTGGACTCTATGTGCTGGAGAAGAGCCAGGCTCTGCAGTGAGCCAAGTGCCTGGACCGGCGGGAATGGAAGCTCTGCACATTCTGGCAACAGGGCTTGATCCTCATCTGCCTAACGGGAGCAGGCCCGGGAGACCCGGCTCTGGCAAAGGGTGAGGAAGGGCAGGGCTGCACCGCGTCCCTCAGCGGGACAAAGCTATGGTGGACGGGCTCGGGGGTGGGGCAGCATGACTGGGCTCTGGGGAAGAGAGGAGGAGCATGTGTCTGGGCTGGGGGGAGAAATCATGCAGCCCTCTCCAGCACCCCCTAACTGGAAATGGGTTGTCATAGGTGTTTCTTTAAACTCTCCTGGGAGAATCTTTTTAATTCTCTGTGTTGTTGACATACTTGCTGATATGTATTTTTAAATAAATTACCAAAATAACTCAAACTGGTGTGATTATATTGTGTTATTTTGACAAATACATTTTTTTTAAATATTGTGCATAGAATTTTTAATTTTTAGCGCAGAATTCCCCCAGGAGTAAGCGTGTGCTCAGTGGGCTCTGACAGTGGGAGTGCCCCACCCTTCTGTTAATTAGCAGGAAAGAGATGGTGGCAACAACTTACTGAAAACTCTTGTTGTTGTCTATAAGACGACATGTAGCTAGGTTAATGGGTCAGCTTTAAAAAAAAGAAAAAAAACAACAGGTGATTTCCTCACCCACTCCAAATGACAGACCCATTGTCCCTGATGTAAAAAAACATCATTTTCTGCTAAGAGTGACGGTATCCATTTTTATTTCAAATTATGGGAAACAACTACAGATGGAAATGCTCTGAACTTTCATTTAGTCTCAAACAATCGACTTTGCTTTTTAGTTTTTCCCACAGAAGAACAAATGCATAAGATTATTTTACCTTCCCTACCTATTTAGCCCTAATGAAGATTCAGCCCAATTATTGCAACTCCTCTCTTCAGTATCAGCAAACATGGTAGTTAAGGAGAAAAAACAATGGAGACTTTTGAGAGAGAGAGAAGGCAGAGAAAAGGTATAGATAGGACTAAAGAAGGAGGTAGAAAACAGTAATGATCCAAAACTTCATCTTAAAAAAATTTGGCTGCACATATTATTTTTGTTCAGGGGATTACATAGGTAACTAGTATTTGCCTTTCGGTCAGCTGAATTACTATGCTAAAGTCAATCCTTTCACTCTTCCAAAGACATTTATATATAATATCAAAACACTGTCCACTAATGAAGTTAACAGCAGTGGTTCAGATGATTCTATTCTTTTATGTATTCCAGTCATCAGTAACAGCCTGAGAGGTGTAAAAGATACTCATACAACACAATCCAAATATTTACATTTAAAAATTACCTTGACTAATAACCTGACAATTTTAATACCTACCATTTTTTAAAGACACATTGTTTGACTGCTGACTCTTCCCATGTTTCTCCTTTTTAACATTCTTTGAATCTACAACACATAAAATGTCATTACATAACAGATTTAGCATTCACATCATACTAAAGTCCAGGGTAACAATTAGTCTAATATAGAGCACTTTTAAACATAACTCTCAAGACAAATACATTCTATTAACCACAGATTTTTGTGTATATATTTCACTATGTCATAAAAAGGTAAATTTTATTCTTATTCTAGTTCATCTCAGAGTTTAAAAGAGACACTAACATCAAGATAAAGGTACAAGCACGGAAAGAAAGAATTCTAAAAAGAATGTTTCTTGGCTGTCAACAAACAAATGTCTTCCAAAATTTTAAAAACAGCAATCTACCTTTATTTTCAAATTGCTTTTGTTTTATAGTTTGAGGGAGAGTATTAAACCAAAGAACATCTTGGACCTTTGAGACAAGGTTTCCAAAATACATTAGTGATTTGAGACACAAGAAAAGGTCCTGATGCTCAATGTGCTGCACACGACCCTCTGAAATTCAAGCCCCTCTAAGGTGTCTCAAGTTGGCCACACAAAAACTGCTGAACCCAAGATCACTAATCATTTTTGACAATCTTGGTGCAGGTCCTGACAAACTGAAACAGAAAAAAAAATATTAACAGTTTATTCTCAGCTAAGGGTCTCACTGCAACCCTAATTCATTGAATACAGGCCTGTACCTATACCACACCAATGAATTAGCAGAAAAAGAAGGAGTGAAACCCATGAGTAGCACACAATCAATTTCACTTTACTTACTTCAGGTATCAGTACCACAAGGAAAAGCCCTCTGTGTGGGGAACAAATAAGGGGGAATAAAACTAGTAGGGCTGGCTGAAGAGATAACTCAAGCCATAATGTGAGTGTTGCCCCTAACTCAAGTTCCAGCCTCTCACAAAATCCCTTGAGTGTAGTGGTGCTTTTAATTCAAGTTGGCTGGCCTGTCAAGGGGTATATGCTACAGCTCAAGTGAGCACAATACTCGGCTGCTACCACGGCCATTCTATGCAGCTTGAGCACTATTTCAGTGTCGCTGCTCTCACTCAAACTAGCCTAACTCAAGAGAAGTTAGCCATGAAGATACCCGTAGACAGACGAGCTACCCATAATTGACTTTATTCACAGCTTTGCCACATTAGCAAATATTAAGACAACCATTGTGCTGCAGAGCATTCAATTCCCTTTTCAGTTTAGGATCATACTTCAATTTCAATTGCCAGTTCCATACCAAATGTCTATATTTTTGACAGATGTTTGATGCTTACCTGGAAACTGAAATGAAGGTACAATCCAATGTCATAAAGCGGATCATACATCTTGTGTGTCACAGAAGCAAGGAAGTGGTGGAACTGAGATGCCATTATCTCCAACATAGACAATTTAGAAGTGGTAGAAAATATCTGAAAAAAACAAATCTAACGGACTTGTTCTTCTGGATATGCTGGCGGGGAGGTGGGCAGTGAGTGAAGGAGAATGGAAGCAAATAAGTGAGCAAGTGCTCTTTGTTGCTTTTGGGCAGAGAAAGACAGCACAGGTTATTTTTCACCCTGTGTAGAAGGTGGTAAATTTTTCAAGCCATGAAATAGATGTAGATAGTTTCACATGGCTAGAACTAAGGCAGTGGATTTCAAATCTCAGTCTCTATTTTTCTTGGTAAACAAGTGTATTTAAACATAGCATTATTGCATTCAGATCAGTGACAGCCTTGATATTTCACAGCTATGATGGGGAATCACTGCTGTGATCACAGTAGGTGTTTTAAGCATAAACGGTAAGCTACTATTCCTTTTTTTTAAAATGCAATCATTCCCTTATAATATTGTGCAACTCACAGTTATAGTGAATGGGAGCTCCTGTTTTCAGGCACCATTTTAAATGTAACCTTTTGGGCTAACATTTTCACTGATGTTGTTAGCCCAACAAGTGTTCTTCATGTTTTAAACTAAGAACAAAGATATGATCTACTGGCCTGCACATAGAATCATAGAATATCAGGGTTGGAAGGGACCTCAGGAGGTCATCTAGTCCAACCCCCTGCTCAAAGCAGGGCCAATTCCCAACTAAATCATCCCAGCCAGGGCTTTGTCAAGCTGGGCCTTAAAAACCTCTAAGGAAGGAGATTCCACCACCTCCCTAGGTAACCCATTCCAGTGCTTCACCACCCTCCTAGTGAAATAGTGTTTCCTAATATCCAACCTAGACCTCCCCCACTGCAACTTGAGACCATTGCTCCTTGTTCTGTCATCTGCCACCACTGAGAACAGCCGAGCTCCATCCTCTTTGGAACCCCCTTTCAGGTAGTTGAAAGCAGCTATCAAATCCCCCCTCATTCTTCTCTTCTGCAGACTAAACAATCCCAGTTCCCTCAGTCTCTCCTCATAAAAGTCATGTGCTCCAGACCCCTAATCAGTTTTGTTGCCCTCCGCTGGACTCTTTCCAATTTTTCCACATCCTTCTTGTAGTGTGGGGCCCAAAACTGGACACAGTACTCCAGATGAGGCCTCACCAATGTCGAATAAAGGGGAACGATCACGTTCCTCTATCTGCTGGCAATGCCCCTACTTATACAGCCCAAAATGCCGTTAGCCTTCTTGGCAACAAGGGCACACTGTTGACTCATATCCAGCTTCTCATCCACTGTGACCCTTAGGTCCTTTTCTGCAGAACTGCTACCTAGCCATTCGGTCCCTAGTCTGTAGCTGTGCATGGGATTCTTCCGTCCTAAGTGCAGGACTCTGCACTTGTCCTTGTTGAACCTCATCAGGTTTTTTTTGGCCCAATCCTCTAATTTGTCTAGGTCCCTCTGTATCCGATCCCTACCCTCTAGTGTACCTGCCATGCCTCCCAGTTTAGTGTCATCTGCAAACTTGCTGAGAGTGCAGTCCACACCATCCTCCAGGTCATTAATAAACACATTAAGAGTTCTGGTTTCTGGTCTATTGACTAAAGGGGAAATTTTCTCCCTCTTCTTTGGCCTGTTTTCCATTTCCTTCTCAATGCCTTAAAATGACTATCCAGACAAAAATAGTAAGGCAATAAGGCCAACACCAGGGAAAAGGATAAGTAAAAGGTCCAATAAAAGCCCAAGATGGTGTGTGTACATATCCTTACATAGGGATAACAGTCACAACCTCATCCCATTCCTCCAAATGCAATTCCCTTCCAAATCAACATTATTTTGGTCTAACTGGGATTGATCTGAAAACAGTTGGTTCTCTTTCAAGGTACCATCACTGCTAGATATTTAGAGACTAATGAGACTGCAAATACGGATTTCATGAAAAATATAAGTGGAATCGTCATTAGCATTATTTGTGAGATTTAGGAATGGACAAAACTTCCAAAGCAGTTTCCCACTGAATAGGAAGTGTTTGGAGATTGAATCATGCTGGATACCACATGACTGAGATCTTGAGGGGGACAAAAAATTGTCCATTGCCTTCTGGTAAGACCCCAAGTTTTGAAAAGAATGGAACCATGATTGAGCAATTCCATCCACCCAGGTTACACTTTACAGATACTATGTATGGGATGTTGGTCTGGAGCACCTCTTTCCAATCTGTAGACATAAAATTCTTCTGCTGATAAGATCACTCATCAGAAGACAAGCCAGAGTAATCACAGCCATCATACAAGAAATCAGAGACAACTGGAGACTGACCCAAGCTTTCTTCATTGACTTGCAATCCACCAGGGACTAAGAAGGCTAACTCCTTCGAGCATAGAGTCTGGTAGAAGCAACTGAGATGATCCTAGTGACCACTTACAGTTCCTCCTAACGTTGAACTCCAGTTTCCTGACAGAAGAGAGCCTTCAGAGAAAACACCCCCTTATTAGAAGAGCCAGTTTCTTAACCAATGATATGACTATTACACCTCCAATAGGAGAGTGCCCCAAGTCTCGTAGAATCTTTTTGGGAAACAATGAAAGCAGTGCATTGTCTTAGAAAGTATGTATCAGTCTTTTCCCAAGACACTATTTCCTTGATGTCCTTGTGGGAAGGGAGCAATAGAGGGTCGGTCTATCAAGATTTGCACAGCCACTTCCTAGGGACTTATTCTTGAGATTCCAGACACCACTCCAACAAGGGAGTCAAAGTCTTCCACCCTGGCTAGCTGTGATAATGTGTGAGGAGCCTCCCTCTGAGGAATCTCTACCTCTGCTCCTCAGAGTTGTCAAGCACTTTAGAGTGACAGATGGCGAAAGACTATTCCCCCCCCACACACACACACAGAGGGCCTCAGCTGCACCTCAGGAGTGGAGGACTGAGACGGAGCGGGGGAGCATTCCCCAACAAGTTGACCACCGCCCTTCTGAAGACCTGTGATGGCAACCAGAAAAGGGGGAAATGTTTGATCCCTAATGCACCTGAGACTCTGTCTAGGCCCTTTTATCCACCTCCAAGAGGGGGATGGGAAGAGGAGATGCTGGCTAACATCTTCCATCAGAACTTCTCTCAAATCTCTGTACACCCTGAAGCAGGGTGGATCTGGAACAGCTCCATCTCCTTCAACCTGTGTTTGTTATTCTCTAGGTGACCCATCCCAGATGGGCTTCCAGCCTGTTTGTCTGCCAGGAATAGGGCCTGTCTTGCAGCATCTTCAAACAGGCAGGGCAGAAGCCTGCCATACAAGGAGTAAGGTTCCTCCATAGGCTCTGCATCAACTTGTGCAACTATTACATGCACAACTGCAGTCATCATAGATGATCCACTGCAGCACAGACCACCACTCAGTTTACAAAGTAGTAGACAACTGCAGAGAAAGCAATTGGGCTGAAAAGGTGGAAGGCATGAATTAGGTGCAAAAATCTTAGCAATCTTCTATAGAGCAGAACTACCTGTCCCAAAACTGAAAAGGACCAGTTACAGAGTAGTTGGGCTCTCTTCACAAGATTCTGTATTCCACTTCATGCCTATTCTATTTCACACATTCACTTCTACTCAAATCTCACCCTCAAGTTGGTGCAAAATACCATAACTTATGATTTTTCCCCCGATACAGCACAGTAGAAGACATGACTAGCGAGAATGCCATTGCATAGATGAGAAATTAAACTGCATAAAACAAACAGTTTAACCTGTCTACATGGGCTTTTGAAAGATAGTTGCTGATGCAGTTTGCTATTGTAAAACTTAATACCTGCTATTACACATTATTCTGATAAACTATGCAGATGTCACAGAATCCAGTTATCACCTATAAAGGATTATATTTTAACAACACATCTAGATATGTGCTTAAATTTTCTACTGGGACTCTGTTTTCTAGATTGTCAGAGGACAACAGTTATTTTGGGTGAAATTATATAGAATGGTTTCAATTAAGGCTAAATTTAGCATGCCTACTGTAAGTTTGGGATTTTTTATTTTAATTTGATTCATAACAAGTTCAGTACGTATTACCATCCTATTTCAACTTAACAATACAGCAGTTATTATTATTAGGTATAATAATACCCCATCTAATCAAAAATAGCTTTTACGTTTTCTACTTTCTTTCCTTTTGGATAAAAGCCACCAACCTTACCTTTAGCTGCTGTTCTCCCCATGGTAACACTTCTGTGATCTTCCTTCTCACAATAAAAAGGCTGAAGTTGAAAGACCAGTTAATTCTTCCTTTCAGCACAACAGTTTCCTGTGGAGTAGTAATACAGCTAGTTAGTTATAGATACAATACAAAAAAAACCCCATTATCTTGCTGTTTTAAAGCTGCAAAAGTTTAACAAGCTACTTGTAGAGGAACTTTGTGTAAACAAGAGCTAAATCAAAGCAATACTGGAGGAGGAGAATAAATTAAATTTTCTTATTACTTCTTTATTTTAAAATGATGTAAACCCTTGAAAAGAAAAATCAGATTGCTTCACATAGCATGTTATGCTTTGACATTAAAATATGCTTTTGCTCTTACTTACTTAAGTTTTCTTTTTAAGATTATAAAAGATTATTTTCAATTTCAACAGCTGAAATCTTTTTTCCTTCCATCTTACATACACACAATCCAACAATGGTCATACTAGAAAATACAATTGGGGGAAATGTTATGCTATTTAAAAAGTAAGGAGTAATGAACTCATGTTTGGTGTCAGGTAGTGTCAGATCACAGATATTCATAAGGATAACACTAGTCTCAAATATAGCACAGGCCTAAGCTGTTGTGGGCTTTAAAAACCAGCAGGTCCAAGTTAGTTAAGCCATGCCACCTCAATAAAGAGAAAAGAGCAATATCTGTTTTGTTACTAGTTCTCCACTCTAGCACCCACACTGCTGAACTTTACTGATGAAATTCATCAGCATTTCACTGAAATCAGAACAGTCATGGGTTAGTCCAGCAACAACAATGCTAGCAAGTCACATATTTTTCCATTCACTCTA